AGAGGAAACTTTTAAAATTATTACGAACTTCGAAAACTTTCAAAAACGTCTTCAACGGCTGTGGCTACAGCTGCGGCGCGACGGTTGGCTTCTGAGTCGTGGTCTCGACGGAGAGCGGATACTTCGGCTGCTTGGTCTGTGTCTCTTGCCTCGTTGTGTGGGTTGAGTTAGTTCCGCAGGTGTCTGGTAGTTCTTCCGTTGCGGTCATGGTATACGGTATGCGTAAGAAGTATTGTGACTGTGGTTTCTTTGTTTACGGACATTTGCAATCGGTCACTGAATTTAGAAGCCACTGGGCCAGATGGTTCTTCTATTGTTGCTGTATTCGTCATACGGTCATATGTGCAAGCGTTTTTCATGGAACTTGGACGGTAATTTTGGGAAATGCCCTCCATCATAATTCACTTGTCGCTGTAAGTCTCGCTGTAATAAAGTATTTTTTTTCCAAGTGTTGCACTGTTGACGTGTTATTCATACATTTTGCATGTGTATTCTTATTTTTGTAATGTATGAATAACATACATTACTTATTGTCTTGAGTTGATGTTTGTTTTGTTTGTCATAGTTAAAAAATAAATATTTTTGTGTGTCAATCTCTAGTGTCGTCCCATGCCGTCCCTTCAAGAGAGCGCAAATGTGAAAATATCATTTTCGGTGCGCGGTCAGTTTGACTTATATGTAGCGCTGGATGACCTTTCTTCCGCAGTGCAATTAAGGTAGACTTATAAAACAATTCTATTTTAGACAAAAACCATGCTAGTTGCAATAACACTGACTCGTTAAACTAGAGGGCGCATGCTACTGCCCGATACAAAAATACTGCCAAAATTCGCCTTGAATCCATTCATCCATCTGGCCAGCGGTTACTGCGTGTATCCATCCGTTCAACACTCAACTAGGGACTATACTGGCCGCTGGGTGCGCACGCTGACACTGAATTGGGCCGCTGGGGCCTATGGAAGTGTGCGCTCTTTACGTAGTACTGTATTTCTTTTTGAACTTACTTCTATTTTGTTGTGGGCACAAGTTCGCCCCATTAAACGTTCAGTTTCTTCAGTTATTCTTCGCCTCATCATTTGTCATCCGTGACGATGTTATATGCCGACGATGTTTCCGCTTATGTTTTCTCACAGATAAAATTGCTAATAAGCTTGAGAGCATGGTAAACACTTGGCTCGAACGATCATCACTGTGGCTACAGCTAAATAAACTAGAATTGAACATCAGTAAAACGAAATGCATTATCTTCAAGTCGAGAAATAAAGCGTATGGCCATAATATTACAATAAAATTCCAAACCGAGATAATTGAGCGACTAACCTCTTACAAATATTAAGGTGTGTGGTTCGAGGAAACGCTAAACTGGTCATGTCACATTACCCATGTTTGTGGTAAAATATCTAGATGAGTTGGTATTCTGAATAGAATTAAGCATCTCCTCCCCAGCTGGCTCAAGCGTCAACTGTACAGCAGTCTTGTCCATTCACATCTTTATTTTTGTCTGTTAGTTTGCTGGACAACTACAAAAAGCAATCTTAATAAGCTCGTTATTCTTCAAAAGGAAACAGTTCGCTGCATCGAAACTTCCATAGAGCGTACCGCCCCTTATTTTTCAAAGTATTCCTTATTGTGTGTTGAACAACTTTTTAATGTTAAATTTGCAATAGAAATATATCAAAAGTATCAAAAATGACCAAGCCGCATTTCATGAGCAGTATACTCGTCGAAAAACCCAATACAATTTAGAGAAGAAAAATATGTTAAACGAAAGACGAGAACAAGTTATGGATTACGAAGCTTGGAATATTAGGTACCTGAATATTTAAGCAGATATTGGAAGATTGAAGATATGATTAGGAAGTTCTATGCCGTTTAATAGCTTTAAAAAGAGTGCAAAAAAATTACTTTTTATCAGACCCTCCTGAGTGTTAATTTCCGCCTATCATTCTGTCCTTTTAACTTCGTTATTTATTTTGTATTGCATAAAGTAATAATTTCCGTATAGGCAGTTATAAGTGTTTTGTATGGTCAATGCATGACCGATTTTGATATGTCCGCCGTTGATTAGTTACTGCCTGTATTTTCTTCATTATTTTGTTTTCTTGTTGAGTGATGTGTAGGGCTGAGGGAGCCTCGTCAGGCGGCGTTAGATCGCCTTTTGCTTCCTCAGCCTAGACGCAAAGTCAAAATAAAGTTATTATTATTCAGCACCAGCGAGGGGGGCATAAAAGGGCATTTCTTTCCATTCGAGTCCCCGACAGCTTCAGAAACGCAGGGCATGTCCTGAGCATCTTATTATCACTTCGCGATCAATACGATTGCGATATTAGGTGATGAAAAAGAACATATCACACGTACACACACACAAAAAAAGAGAAGCGTGAGCCAGACACAGCGCTTCTCAAGTTGTCAATCACCCTACATGTTCCAGACTATCGGGTACCTGCGGCCTCACACTGAGCTTCTACGGAAGTCAAAAGTTCACAAAAGTACTTCATTAAAAAAAAAAAAAAAATCAGGGCGGAAAAATGCGACGTAACCGACCGCTACTCTTCCCTGCTACCGACATCCTTTTCTTTCAAACGAAGGATGACTAGAAAATTTTCGAGGCTCAAAGCTCTAGGCGAAAAGTGAAAAAAAAAAAAATAAGACGAACACACGCGGAACACTTTCATTAGGCGGCAGTTTTATAACTAGGACTCCGTGTTTTCGAATAAATCCAATAAAATCCTCGACCCCCCCCCCCCCCCCCCCCCCAAAAAAAAAAAGAAACAACAAAAAACAAATCCGCTTGACGGTAAAATTTTCGTCCATTCGAATTTTTCCGGAAAATTCCGAATTTCGATCCCAACATGGCGAAAAGAAAAGAACAACAACAACAACATCGTATTCTACAATTAAGCTTGTTCAGAGCACAGGGTCATTTGTCCTGAGGAGAGGCTTCTTCAGTTTCCTTCCAAACCTTGGACTATTAGCAAACGCTGTTCACCTTTCAAATCTCGTCAAGTTTTCGGAACGACAGGTCATTGCTATTTTGGGACACCACAAAAGTCTCTGTCCTAGATTTCAGCGTGGACTTCTTAGAGGAAAAGACAAGCGCCGAAAGACAGGACAACGTAAGAAGACGACGACACACACTTTTCCCATTATGAACCAACTGGCCCAACTCACCATTTTCTTAGAGGAAGGCGGGGGGGGGGGGGGGGTTATAGCACTGAAAGGTATGATTATAGGAGGGTAAGGAGCAGCTAAAGGTTATATCTTTACACCCCATGCAGCGCAACCGCAGTGTGGAGCTCTGGAAGGGGATGGGAAGGAAACAAAATTTCCAGAAACTACGTTAAGCGTTTTAGTTATTTTAAAGTCTTGAAGTTTATTAAAACCACGGTGGTTTGCAAGGTTTTCGTGAAACAGTTAGTATCACCAGTGGTGAAGGTGCGAATGTTCAATTCCCCCCAGCTGAAGAAATATAATACAGTACATGTGAGTTCTTACGCAAATATGGCCGGTTTGTAACCTTGTAATACTTGATTTTATATTGAACATCGTAAATTGTTCACACAACAAAATTAATTGCCCAATTTTGGAGGCTCGGGTATCTGTCGTAAATAAATTCCGATAATCTCGAAACTGTCAGCAAAAAATAAATTAAAAAAAACATCCTCCGTAATTTAACAAGAAATAAACTCCGAAGACATGGAACAATAGTTGCAACTCAGGCAGCACTAAAGAGCAAATCTGTAGTAACTGCGTCACGACGCACTTGTTGCATGGGTCATTGACGCAAAAGAAGGAAAGCTGGGAAAATTGCATAACAAAACGGTGGCCTTTGAGGTGCGCGGCATATTCTATTTCGCTTCCGAAAAGGTCACTACGAGCGAGGGCTGAGGCTTCTCATTTAGTAATCTACTGTGCCTCAAATTTAGTCACACATCTTCAGTATGATTAATATCTGCCCTTAATCTACAAATGCGGATTTTCTGTTTCTGCGTCCTCTCACCCAGGTGAGTAGCGAAATTGCTTTTCATCAATCGACCTGCTCTTCCGGTAGCACCCACGACCTTATTTATATTTTAGACAGGTTCATGACAGACCTCATACCAAAGACAAAGATATTTCAGTGACTTCTCATAAAATGTACTGAAGTTGATTGCCTCGACGTCACATAACTCTGCGAGTGTATACGCTCGGGGTACTCGGTTTGATGCTTTCTTTTCTGCAGTGCTACTGACAGGGCATTTTAAGGCTTGTAATTCTTACTTTAATTTTTGTTTCTTTCAGAGAAGCTTGCAAAAATTTCCTTTTAATATCTTGAATGCACGGAAATAGCTTTAATTAACTTGGACACTCCCTGGGTATTGAACTCTTTGGTAATCAATAAAGGTGAGCTTATTTAACACCATAAGAAATAGTCACAATATTTCTATCCGAAGTAGGGTGAAATCGTTTTCATTCTATATTCCGCTTGCTGTTTAATATAAATCTACTCTACCCAATCCACGGTCACCTTTACAAAACTTTAAAACCCCAGTTGGTTTTCTCACAAAACGTCAATCAGTTAACATATCAACAGACTCTTAGGTGTTCAAATATCTGGCGTGCAACAAATTAAATATATCTTCTTCTTATATTACTGTCATGTTTTCCGTGTCAAAATGACTTTGAAATTGCATTGAAACAGGTATATAATAAAACCACTGCTCCCTTTCGGCCACTGCTTGTATTTATTTTAGGTCATCACGGTGTTGTCTTTCACGCAAGGAAAGCGTTATTTTTTCATAAATAAAAAAAAATATTTTTTAATCATTCCTGAAGGTCGGGAATAAAGCGCAAATATGAATTTTGTTTTCTGCCAAGTGTAAAAACATCGGTGGTGGAAACATTTTTTTACTGAATCTTAACAATTAACACAGCCATGACTGTCAAGGTTCTATGGTCGATTCGTGTTACTGTAACTCTTTTCAGGAAGTTTGCAGTCTGAGGTGTGGTTATTCGTTACAATGAAAACAAAGATACTACTCGCACTTTTAACCGTGGTGCTTATTTCGACGACCGTTGAGAAGGGTAAGGAATACTCAAAGCTATTTAAACAGCATTAAAAAATTAGTTGGAAATCATAATCAAGAGCCTCGAGCGCCATTTCGTCGAGCGGTTCATACATCAGCGGACTTGGTCACCTGACAAAAAAAGTGAAAAAAGCTAGAACCGTAAAAGAAAACGAAGGTGATGATCTTCATTAGTTAATTGTCAACTGCTGAAAAAGAAACCGAGGCGGTTTCGAAAGTCGGGACTTATGAATCTCTAGGCCGTGGTTGGTGATTATAGTTTATTTTCATAGCTTCAACCCAACTAGACGGACTTCCGTCGAATATGTTCACGTTCAAATATGCAATCTGCTACCTTTCAACAAGAAAAAAAATCTCTTAAAAAAAAAGAAAAACGACACATGAGATTTAAACAGGATTTTCGAATATATAGGAGACTGGAAGTTTTGGTATCTCTTTATGCGGAAAGGAATAAAGGGAAAAAAAGGTAGTCGTGATTTACGACGCCTCTTTTATATGGCTCTCAACAATTTCTAAGAAACAGAATGTAGAATGTAGATGGTCGCTCACAAACTTATTTCCAAAGATAGTTAGCTGAAAGAAACAAATATTTTTAGTGAACCTTCAATTGCTACTCTGAGGATACCAGCTTTTTTTTTTCCCCGGATCGATTTTACTTATATTGCTAATATTACTTTATTTTCAAAGCAGTATTATATTACATAGAACCGCAATTTATTCGGGATAATCTCGGACATTTTGGGTGTGAGATTGTCCCGATTACAGCATGTCGCCGCAAAAGATTTAGTGGGTCTTTTTTCACCGCAAACATAAGCGCTTAGAGGGATACTGAAAGACCGAAATTTCGAGCTCACAAAACGATGGTGGACGGATAGGCGGGACGCTGCAAAACCCGAAAACAGCGCTCATACAGCGATATCTCTAACGGATCGCCGTATTTTTAGAAATGAAGTGCGCGACTGAACACGGCCGACCAGGCCGAGGAGGCAAGCCACGTCACGATTCTCGTTCCCTCTCCTTCTCGCTACGTCCCGTCGAGCTTGGTCGAGCTGGTGAGGCGAAGCGAGGAGGAGAGAGGCGAGGCAACACCTCCTAGAAGACAAGGCCGTAGCGCTCTCCTCGTGACGTCGCAAAGGAAGGCCATCGGGGGCGCGCGTCGAAGCGAATGCAACGCGCGTAGATCGACCGTCGTAACGCTTTTTAGTCACATACGCGTGTCATATTAGCTAAAATGAAAGCTGCACATAGCAACAGGCCTAGAAAACATTTTATTACACGAGCAAAATATTACACCGCTAAATAATCCGTACGAAATGGCACGAGGTATGCGTACATTGTTTTAAGTCGAAAACATTGAGTCATGCAATTATTGTTGTAGGAATGCATATTTTATACAGAAATACTTCGACAAAATGGCGAGACACGCAGTGATTTGGAAACAGCAAAACAGAACAGTTAAAAATCAGGTAGACGTAGTCAACGCGGACAAGGCAAGACAAGTGTTTCCCACGATCATGTAAGCGACGTTATTGCGTGCAGTCACTGAATTCTTGCATCATACCCCGGCCACATGGCAAAATTAATGCAATTTCGATCGAATGACATTGTGGGGTCGACAAATCCGCTTGCGGCGCTCGTATAACCACTCAAGACCGCGAGCTGATTAAATCCTATATCACTGAATGAAAATATATTAACTTTTCCGTGTGGCAGGAGTACTAAACTTACTACTTAGTCTACTAATTTACTTCTCCCTATGGGGCTCGAGCTGCCTTAGAACAACACATAACTTATTTTGTATATAATAATACTATTACCTTAATACAGTTAAGATTCTAGTATAAACGCGGAAGAGGCAATAAAATAACTTTAGTATAAATAAACACAGAACCACGAACAACGCACTTTCAATAATCACACAAACTTGTTTTTCACCTTGCAGTGAAAACAAGATTAGCGCGTATATTTACAAATGTCGACGAAACTGCACGCGAATCATGACAAAGAACAAAATTGCAATCTATCATGCGATTAAAAAAAAAAGAAAAACGATTGCAGCATCTTACTTGCGTTTTACATGACCAAGAAAGCCCGTAAATAAGTTCTTTCTCACCTGTCGATCGTATCCATACGTCCCACAATATCCGTGACATACACATTTGAACACGAACTCCAAGAAGCCTCTCTCTGTCGCGAGAGGTCTATCGATTAATCGACCAGTCTTCGTTGGCTAGTTGTTACACATGTCACTCAAACCGAAGCAGGACTTGTTTCACGAATCCACGTAAATGCCGTAGTATCAAGCGAACACAAAAAAACTACTGGAGACTACGGCGATGACCGAAATACGACGGGAAACAAGTCTCAAAAGTACCACACACGAGAGCAGCGGCGACGAAAGGCTTGAAGTTGTCGACCCATCTCTTGCTGGTGTGCGCTCCCTGCGACAATGACTGGATTTCTCTTCGGTTTCCTTCCCTTCTGAGATGTCTCAGCGTTCCTTTTCAGACAGTCAGCAGCTCACACACAACGTAAATTTACCAGAATCGGAGCCATGTGGCATCGGCAGCATCGCAGCCGGTCCTTTCGAAAAGTGTGGCGTGCTGCGGAACTGCAGGTAGTCCCGCGGTTACGGGGATACTCATAAATATAAATTTGGTACTCTCAACCTTGGTAACGCGTTGTATATTACGTTTATATTATATATTTATTAAATTGTACAAGACTGCGCCTTTAAAACGTATATTAATGCCGGATAAACGCGCATGAACACCACCGCGCCGAGGTACATTTTTTTCACGTCGATAGCGTATTCTCACGTAGTTGCGCCATGGACTTCCTTCCTCCGCCATTGTGACGTAACCTCTCAGAGCGCTCTGGCCTTCTTCTCTAGGAGGTGTTGGGCGAGGCCGCTTCCTCTCGTTCTCAAATTTTCCCGGAGGACAATGACGTCATAGCCGTCGCTTGATCGCGCCTTTTTTTTTTCCAAAACTATGGAAATCCGTTTGAGATACCGATGTATGAGTAATGTTTTGGAGTTAGTGACGTCCCGTTACGGTTCTGCAACCTTATTTTCGGTTCAGTATTGCTTTAAAGGGCCCTTGAAGAGAGAGAAAAAAATTAAACAATCTGGTTGGGACACGCATGTCAAGAAATAAATTTTACAAGAAAAAAAAATTGTTTGAGAGCGATATTGACGGCGAGAGATTTATTTGAAATTCTGCGCGCAAGGTTCATGACGTCACGGAATGGTCATATGCGCATTCGACCTCAACGAGAGGGTCATTCGCTCCTTTCCACCTCGACGTGAAGGCGAAGCCGATCCACCTCTTCTCCAGGCGCCCGAAATGCCGAGAGAATCAACAAGGGGAAAGGAGGTGACTACCGACTTTATCGCATATCGCGCCGTCAATATTGCCTTAAAATTTTTTTCTCGCATAAAATTAATTTTTTTTTTGACACGCGTGCCCCAAGCACGCGTATCAATAACCAAAATGTAGAATCAGATGCCACAGTTTCAGAACAAAAATATAATTTCTAGTTCGACATTTTCGTGGCGTCGGCATGTAGTGGCAACGTCAGCCATAGGCGAAAAGTTTTCAATATTCCGGGAGACGCTTATGGTTAAAACATCCAACGGTACATAACATCCAACGAGTCTAAACATCCATTAGGTCACGCGATACAAGAGTCATAACGTCCATCGAGTCAGAACACCCATCCGGATGCTTGAAAGCAGGTCACATTGAAAAGTTGGTATATATATATATATATATATATATATATACAAAACTTGAAAGTATAAAACAGAGAGGACGAGGACGGGAACAGGACATCTATCAATTGTATATATATATATATCAGGGTTGGGCAGAAATACTCAAGAATGTATTTGGAAATACAAATACTGCGATACATTAAAATAGTAGCTAAAATACTGATACTAAGATACATCTGTAAAAATGTATCGCGATACGTATCGGAAATACATTTTAAAAAGAGGCCAAAAAGTATTAGGAAATACAAATACAGGAATACATTTTAGGGAGGGCAGGAATACAAATACAGGAATACTCATAGTGCAATACATTTTCAAAATTTTTTGAGACGCCAACTGAGATGAAGCTTGAAGTTTGAAGTGGATGTTTTCGATCCCGAAATTACCTTCCTGTAGGCTTGGCACTTTGACTTGAAGGCAGTGGTTTCGGACGACAAGGAGTCTTCAATGGGCCCAGAAAAACGTTCCATCAAGGGCTGACCGCGGTCCCTTCCATGACATCCTGTCTGTCTGACGAGGGAATCCTGTCAACATTAATCACGTGATGTCACGGTGGAATGAACTACTATTCTTCATCTGTAGGTGTTGCCTTGAACATAAAACTTTACCACGCTGCTGTATGAAAGGACAATACATACTTTCGTTGTAGGTTACCTAGTTGAAGATCATGCAGGCAGTGTCATTTGGAATGTCTGAGAATAGTGGACCACCTGAAGTATCTTGGAATACATGTCTTCTGTTACGGTTGAAAAAACGATACGGTAGCATCCCTGTTCTGAAGGTCCTTACTGCCGACCCTCCACCACCGACGCACGGATTGCAGTCCTCAAGTTTTGCCTAGCATTATCCAAACAGAGACCTCGTGGAGTGCGAGCTGATATTGCCTGCACAGGTGCGAGCTGTCCGAGAAACAGCGGTCACGAGACGAGTCGCGGGAGTACGTAGTCTGGGATGGCACAGCGAGGCCGCTTCTGGCCTCCTTCTGGGTTTCGGATCACCAGAGAAGCGGGTCACGTTCGCGTCGGCTGATGACGTACCCTTGAGCCGTGCAATATTACGGGCGCAGCCGTAGATGCATTCGAATAAGTGTTGCATTCAAATAAGTGTTGAATTTCAAGTTTACCACCGCCAGGCTTGTGCTGCAATGGAATATGACTCAGCTTTGCCGACTGGGTGTACTCTGTACGCTAAGGCGAGAGAGGCGGTTAGCAGCGGGCATT